TAAACTCATTTCATTTTATTTTTTGTTTTCTAATTGTTTCTTTTTTTCTTAATTTTTATGCTAATTATTTTTTTTTGGTTTTACATATTTTTTTATACTGTGTCTCTTATATTCTATCTCACTTTATTTTTCAATTCAATTCAATTAAAATTAACTTTATTTATTTTATTTGATGGTTGTTTACTTCATTTTGTTCTATGTTATAAATTATATTTTATGATTATTTATTTATATTATTTCATTTCGATTTAATTCAATTTAACTGTTATTATATTATTTTCAATTTTATTTATTTCATTATGCTTTATTTTTATTTATTGGATTTATTCAGTTATTTCTTTCATTAATTTAAATACTTTTTACTGATTTATTTTCTTTTCCATTTAGTTATTTTTTTATTTCACGACGATTAAGCGATTATATTTTTCTAATATTATTTCAATACTAGAATATATCTCTTTCTTTTGAGTTTTTCTGCGCGCTAAAAATCTACATTGACCATTTTGATATTTTTATACTGAAATTGTGAAAAATGCCTGAGAGAAAATATTTGGTTTTTAAATTTAAACGCAAATGAACAAAAATATATACAATAACACATATGTACATATGTATTATATTTATGTTGGTAGCCGTTACTTACATTAAATTAGCAGTTGAAACGATGGTTGTGAATCTGAACATTTTCACTACATATGCATCTGCTTATATATCTGAGTAAATACATACATATGTATGCATCATAGCTGCCCAGCTGATGTAGAATGAGAAAGAAAAACTCACCTTGAGATATCAGTTCTTGTTGGATACAGCGGCCAATGTCGAGAAAAATTGACCAAGGCGGCAGATGCATAGTGGTATTTACACTTCTACAAACATTCATACATATGTACATAGGTATGTACGTATGTTTGCATAATACATTTATATAGGAATATTGTACAAATCTTGAAAACAATAACATAGAGGTGGCTTGGCGTTTACAATAAAAGCTTTCACAAAAAAAGCAACCTGTAAAACCTGTTTCTTTCCTATTAGTTCAGCTGACTAACACTTATTGTTGTGAATTCTGCTGAGTAAGTTTCTGGGGGTATTATTTACCAAATGTAGCCGTTATATGATAAACAACCTGTAAGTTATAACTGACATATGTATGTATGTATGTATCAGTGCATCTGTGTGATGTGTAATGTGTATGTGTAACAAAATGATAATTATCGCACATTTATAAATATTTCCACGTACAATAATTTTTTGCACAAAATATTCTGATTAAAAAATGTCTATATTATGACTATTTTGTGTGCCCCCAAAAGGCGGTAAATAAAGGTAAAAATATTTCAAACTCACGTTTATAAGTAATAAGATTTGATACATTAATACGAGTTATTGAAAGAAAAAATTACTGAACAAAAAATTTTCTCTAATACATACAGGCATGTAAAAAGACGCTTTTGTTAAAGATTTTATTATTATCTTTTTTTAATTTAGTGGAAAAAAGTTTCGATTATTGTTGGAAAAACTTCCGAATGGGATTTTTCGAAGTAATAATAATAACTGTCCTTCCTCCAAACATTTTTTTTTATTAAATTCATATACATAGATATGTCATGAAATTCGATCTTGTATTGGAAAAATACTAATAATATTAATTTAAATTTTTGTTTAACAATATGTACATATTTTTGTATGCATATACATCTGTATGTATACAAATTGATTTCATTTTTTTGTAAACTAATCAAACTTATGCATAAATATATTAATGAAAGAAAACTCATTTGCTTTTATCCCAACACTCTTTCAGTCGTTGTTTATTTGTTCATGCTTACGACGCGCACAAAAACATTCAATATCAGCAGCAGTATCTGTGTGCAAGAGATTACTTTCATACATACATTCACACGAATGTCAGAAACAGCTGATTTTTTACACTTGCTTCGCACCGAGGAAAATAAAAATAATAACAAATACATTCATTGATACATAAATACACACATACAGGTATATACATATATGCATACACAAACCCTGCAAACATTTTTGGACCGTATGACCCATTGAAGTAATCCAATACGTACAACTCTGTAGTTTACTATTGAAGTAACTCACGCCTCGCTAGCAGCTCGTTTTTACCCGATGATTGCTCGTGCTTTAATGAGCGCAATTGCTAAACTAATTTGCAAATGTATACAGAAATCTTTGTAATAAATTAATACGTTAACATATGTTTTACCAACTTTTCACAAAACCGGATTGCATTCGAGACTAGAAAATCTATTATTGTTACTCAGATGTTATGCAGAGACCTCTAATACTCCACGGCCCAGCCATAAGATGATAATTAGACCATAATTTTCGTATTGATTGTGGTTAATTTTGGATTACTCTATTGTCGCCGTGGAAAATATATTTCACACGTGCATGAATTGGCAATAAAAATATTCCTACGTGTATATATAATACATATGTATGTATATATGTATAAGTACTATATTGTGCAGACAGCTCGTAATCAATACTCCAATATGTATAATAAAAAAATACATATGTACATATGTATGTACTCAGATAAATAAATCAGGCTTTGTACTTGTACTTAATAAAACTTATACAAAGCTGCATACATTTCCGAAGATAATGTAAGTTTTTTGTACATAAACATTTACAAATGCGTATACATATATACATGTATTTCAAATTATGACCATACGTACACATATGAACACGTACGTCTTATGCGGATGTGAATGTTCACATGTACGTACATACATACATACATATATTCTAATTAACTTCTTGCTAGTGCTGAGTTTAACAAAATATTTATCAAAATTGTGGAGTATGTACGTATGTATGTAACATTAGAAAAAAACGTCTTGATGACGACGAAAAATTACAATATGCAATGCCGGAATTTATATTTTTTAGCTGAGTGTGTGTGTACATATACTCGTATGTATGTATCTATATGTAAGCACAAACAATCATTTAAAATTAAGAGTGTGTCAGATTAGTGTATTACGCAGTATGTGTAAATGTAAACATACAAACATACGAGTGATCCGGATATGTTCTACTTTCGGAAAACTCTTTAATATTATTATACTTCTTACATACATACATATATACATACATATGTATATACGAACTAATCTTTGAAGAAGAGGCTTGAATCCATGAAACATATCAAACTATACAAAATCAAAGACGCAATAGATGCAACTTAACTACGTCGTAGACACTAACCTCTACACGTACATATGTATGTATATTTATGTATATGTCTGTATGTATGTAAGATATGCATTTGTATATAAATATACATATTTACATGCATACGAATATACACTAATACGGAAAATGTGTGTGTGTGTTAGACACTAAGTGAATATGTATGTATGTATGCGTTTCTTTGTGTTCTCCCATCCCCACTAGGAATGAGTGTGTTTTGGCTTTGTAAATACAATCAAGGGCGAATAAAATATACTGAATTGAATTTTTCATAAATTACGCTTTATTTTTATCTCTCCCTTCATTTACCATATACTCTACAACATTTCAAACTAGTTATACACAAATTATTTCGCTTATGCCTTTCTAACGGTGAGCTTCAAACATACAACTTGTATGCATGTGTCTCTGAAAGCACATACCTACATATGTACATACTCATATGCCTTTGCAAGTTGTTATTTTGTTGATATTGATGTGTTTACATACAGGATTACAAATTAAATGTGCCTTAGAAACATAAATTAAATGTCAAATACCTATGGGCAAGTGGTAACCAAAGCTACAACGAACGGTAAAAAGATACATAGATATGAATGTAAATGCATATGTATGTACAAGGAGTGTATCAGAAATTATAAAGCCTCTACCGAAAGAAATCTCTACATTTGCTGAACACAAATGGGCGCACCGTAAATAAACAAATACCAAAGTTGCTTAAACAATTTTTACGAATTCACCTACGCAAAGCATATACATACATATGTATACATCTATGTACATATACATACGTGCATGTATGTACATATACAATATACATTAATAAATAGTTCCTATGTTGTGGATATCTGAACATATGCAAGTGTTATATATGTATATGTATATAAGAAGTTGATACAATAGTAAGATCATTTGTAATTAGTAGCTCAGATGAACTATACCAATTGAAATAAACAAAAAATTCAGATACATATGTAACCAGTCAGTCAGCACTCAGAAAGCGTCCCACCCTATTTCCCTAGGAAAAAAAAGCGCAATCATTCAGGCACCCACACACGTGCAGATACATGTATGTATCTGTTTATTTTACATCTGCATACATATGTACATAACATGAGCGAATCACACTACCACACCTAACAATGAATTTCCACCACCACCAGCCGTTAAACAATAATAAAAAAAACATGGATTGCGTATAATGTTTATCATTATTTGATTTTTGAAATTAATTAAATTAGAAAAAATTATCATATAACAATGGCGGCAAGAATACGTATGTACATATATACATACATAAGGTAACGCTGTCTGTAGCCCTATTTATTTTTATTAGCACACAGCTGATTTTAAGGCAGTGTTTACCTTTTTAACAGCATTCTCTTAAATTTACAGTTTGCAGCAGGCGGAATGGGGAAAGCTTTGAATTCATGTGCAGTTAATCATTTCCGAATAAAATGGCACATGTCCCTATAATATTTACATATGTATATAATAAGTACATACAAATTTATTATACTTTTGTTAAATTGCAACGGCAATAGTTTATCCGATTTTTTTACTGCCGTTATTCACTCAAATACATATGTATCAATTTTTTTAATTTTTTATTATTTTGTTACCCGCAGCAATAAAATTTGTTTTTTTCCCCTGACGGTCTAAATGATTTTATTTGAATTTAAAATTTAATATATGTAATTATAAGTTACCTCCCTAAAACCGCAAACGTATGTATTTACACAATTTCGTGTAATTTTGTTACTCACCTGATACATGGCTGTCTTCGGCAAATCCAAGCAAACAGCACAACATAAAATCCCTCCCAGACGTTGCTCGAGTTTCTCCTGTAACAATGCAGTATCCCCAATACCTGCAGATGTACTCGGATGATCGATCATTTTTTTCTTAGCTGGTGGCTCACAAGTGTCCATTTTACCCCCAGCAACACCCGAAGTATTACCACCACCTATTACACCACTACCAATCACTCCACTATTGAGTAAACTGGAATTTTCACTAGGTGAAACTTCTATTGCTATAGACCCCGAATTATTGCCCGAATTGGAGGAGGTACCAGCACCGCCACCATTTCCCCCACCCATGGTATTAGCAACTGACTGTGAATGCTGCTGTTGTTGCTGGAGACTTACTTGGGCACTATTGCTATCGCTGAGTAACTCAGCGGACGCTAAAAGTGGAATCGAATTGAGATTCATAGTATTGGCACCAGAGGATGGTTGCTGTAAAACAGAGCTGGATTCTAAGTCAGCCATTTTTTTTTTATTTATGGTATATAATCTTTTCAGTTATGCCAGGCCTTTCAGTTATGTAAATGGGCTCACGAATCACAATTCTGAACAGTTCCAACCAATTACTCGTTTCGTCTTTTGGTTTGCGAATGTATTCCTCCTATCTGTCCCCCTTTAATCGATTTTTCTATGCTTCAATTTTTTCTTTGCTCGCAAATTTATTTCTTCTTCACTTTTGTGGAAATTTTGGGTTTTTCAAATCTGAGTAAAACAGATATTAATTTAATTTAATGGATTTAAGAACGCTGTTTTTCTTTTAACTTTTCCGTCTGAATAAATTTCAGTTTTTCAATTCCAAAATCAAATAATTGAAAACAAATGTAGCTCTATTCACTTTTTCTTTGTTGAGAACAGTGTTATTAGACCGAACCAATTACGTCTTTATCGGGCGAATTCAACTCAAAGAATGAATAGAAAGAACGAAAGCTCGATGTATTTATTTTTTTAATAATTGTCAGTGATGCGCTTTTTGACGATGTTTTGTACTCGGATCAAAATATATCACAATTACATAAATTTAAAGAAAAGGGTAATTAAAGGATGTATGTATTTAGATAAATTTATTAAAATTTTTCAAATATTCGAAAATTTAAAAGAGCGTAAGTAAACAATGTTTTTTCTTGGTGATTGAATTCATAAAGCACCACTCAAATATCCTCGGTACTGCGAACTCGGTATAAACGCATACACTACGCGACAAGCGATAGGCCCTCGAACATATGAAGTGCGTTACCATACGGAATAGCAAAAAATATTTTCACCGTGTGACTTGAATGTGTTCAGCTTTAAATTTATTTTTCTTAATTTTCATATACGTTCTTTAGCAATGGTTTGCATTGACTGTATAACGTAAATTTTCTACCGCGGCGGTGAAGTGTCTTTCTACCAGAGAACGTATAATTGTTGTATTTATGTTCTCTGCACCAAACAGCTGGTGGCCTGTGGTGGCTTATTGCGAATGAAAAGTAAAGCAACGCACGAATTACCTAACTCAACAAACAAAGCCATATAAATTATATTAAGTAAATTTTGTATAGTTTCTTTATCTAACAATTTAATATACTCGAGTATTAGTATTATGAACGCAGTTATTGCTTTGTGTCATTTCTGCGAAGCACATGGACCTAGCGCAATATTTTGTACACAAACCTTGCGGGACACAAAACTTGAGGAGCTACATTTGGATCAACAGCAAGTAGAAAACAAATTGTGTTCCGCGTGTAATTCTCTCGGACAAACTAACGGTTTGTACAGTAAAGACAATGAAAGCGGCGCTACTTTTTTAAGCACACAAGTAGCCGCTTTGCCTGATGTACAAATATTAGTCAAACAGGCGGCAGTACGAAGCCTTAGCTGTGAAATAAATTCGAATAAGGATGGAGGCTTCGTGTTTTTCGGTGACTCCGCAAGAGGTCATGTTCTGAGTCATACATTTCAAGTTAACGACTTGCAGGTTAGTGCATTGGGTTTGTGCTACGTTTTGCGAGTGTTAAATCCTCCAATATAATTTTTTCAGGCTCGCGGTTTCTACCAGCTGTTTTCAATTATTGTGTTAATGAAAGATAAATATTTTCTTTTGAACACAAAACCGTTTCTAGCAGAGCACCTACGCAAAGTTTCTTCAGATATACAAGCGTCCGCTAAAAAAATTAACGATGACACAAAAGAATTGCCCCGCCAACGACGTCTATCCAGCGCACAGGTTTTGGTACAAACACCACGCTCCTTGATCGAACTAACCGGAGAGGATAATATTTTCGCATTTCTACATTCACACTTTTCATGGATATTGTTAGCTGGTTCTAGATTCCTTACAGAACATGTTACATTCGGTAATTTGCCATGGTTGCCACCACAAAGCAGCGATCGTCCTCCCCAACAGCGTCTAACGTACAATATAACATTACCAATGATACAAAAGTACGAAGAAACCATTAATGATCCGGAACGTGATGAGTTTTACTCACTGCGACTTGTAAAGGATATTGTCCGTCGTGAATTTAGTACTACAGTTTTTTGTGCATTAACAGGAATAAAGGTGATAGCAGCATAATCAAAAATTAGAGTAATGTTAAGGCTTTATTTACTTTTCAGATAATTGTACGTGGAAGTTCTGATCGTACATTAAACTTTATGCTTTGTTTAAAAAAACTCCTCCCGGAACCAATGCATAATCTCATGCGCATTGATGCGCAACATCAACACTCCATTAGTTCCGATTATAAAATCATTTCAGTATCGAATGAAATAGCGGTGCCTATGGCATGCAGCTCGGTCTATCGTATAGATTTTCTAGATGATTCAACAGACGGTAACAAAGCTTGCGTAAAATGGCCTGGGGAAATACCAAGAAAATGTAATAAAAAATATATATTTAGAATACACTTTGATTTTAAATCACTTTCGTATGCCTATATCTTTTTTGCAGGGCCAGATTTAATGGTTAAGCTGATGAAGGCAGTAGATGAAAAGCGTTTCACACCTTTGGTACTGAATAAGCAAACAAAAGTTCTAATCGAGGAATGGAAAAAGTTCGTAATGTTCATTTGTTTTCTTTTTGAAAATAATTTCTTTGAATTGCATTATAGTAAAGTCATATGCTTAAATCGTGCAAAGTCGTCTAATGGTCAAGCGAAGTTGCGAAAAGTGTTGGGCGTGCAACCACAGGATCAACCATTAATAAATTATTGGAGCGGTCATTTGCAATAAAATGGAAATCAAAATAAAAAGTTTTAGTAATTACCTGCTTTCATTTGAATTTTTAGATTATGATTCAGCAAATGGCCAACTTCAAATTAAAGTCGTCAAACGGTAGGACGCTGATTGATCTCGAAACTATTTAGAATTAATTTTTCCCTGAATGGCTATCTGCAACATAGCTTCTGAATTTAGTCGTATCTTACATTACCATGGGGCATATGTTGGTTGTAAAAAGTATGTCGGCGAAATCTTATCCAAAGAACTAACGACATCCGCAATTTGTAACGGCCTACATGTTAGTTACTCAATCTAAAGCACATTATTCTCCCAATCATTAGTTTCTCTAGTGCAGTAATTAAAACATTTTTAATGTAGCGAAACACTTTCATTAAATACAAATATTTTACGTTTGGAAAACATTAAAAGTAATTATTTTTATTTGTATTATTTATATAGCGCGAGATGATATATGCACTATATATAACCACAAATTCTTATAGCGCGGTTCTACACAATCTATTATAACTTAAACGCATAGACGTACAAATAAGATTGTTTACTTCTTATAACCGCAGCTGGAACGACGACCACGAGCACGTTCAAATTTGCGACCCTTTGATCGCACATATGGTCGGGTGTGGGAGTGTGGCACACCAGGAGCCTTACCAAAGTGTTTGCATGCGGTACGTGCTGTACGTTTACCTTGCAAAAGTAGTGTGTTCTTGCCAGTGGGAGATTTAAGTGCAAGTTGATCAAAAGTCAAAACTTTGCCACCAGCCTTAATGATACGCTCGCGAGCTGTTTGCGTAACATGCAAAGCGCAAATCGTCATCTTGGGCACTTCCAATTGACGCACATCATTGGTTATGCTGCCAACGACAACAACTGTAGCTTCGGGTTGAGCTGCTTTCTTGAAGAAACGGCTAACGCGCTGCAGAGACATTGGTGGGCGGTTAGTTTTGCTCATGAAGAGCCGTTTCAAGACGATGCGATTGAACTTCTTGTTGGTACGACGCTGCAGGAAGCGGTACAACTGTAAAGAAATAACAATGTTATTATTTGAACTTGTACATGCATATTTTATAGAATAATCTATATGTGGAATTTAGAAAAATCAAACGTATAAATACCTCATTAATTTATTAACAGGAAATAACTTACCTTGACAAGAAGGCGCAAGTAAACATCCTGGGATTTCGGCTCAGTTCTGCGAACTTTGCGATCGTATTTATGGCTGATATCAATACCCTGAAAGGATGCACGAAAAAGATTTTTATTAAATTATAATCACCAACAACTCACTCGGCTTTCGCACAAATCACAACGTGAAGAAAATGATTAAATACACTGATGTTTAGAAATAAATAATTGTTGAAAAGATTTTATTTAGGTCTTACCATTGTGGCGACCGGAAAAAGAAAGAATAGATAGGAGACGTAGTTGGTATTACTGCTGTGTTTTGACAGTTTCTAAATTCTCTGTCTGACATTCGTCACGCTTTGTTTATTGAGCACTAAAATGAATAAAACTTTTGAAAAGCAACTTCGTTAATAGTTTACTGTGAAAAATTGCATAGTCTATACCTTCCATTTAAAATTATTTCTTATTGGCGTTCGCGTAATTTCAGATATGTCAACATAAACACAGTTTATTTAGCTCATCATTAAGTTTATTTGAATTTGAAATCATATTTATAAAAAGATGATAACCGATTTTTTTCGGTCTGCAATTGATGAACGCGTTTTTCCCAATACACTCTCAGGGGGTAGGGGTTCAATTTTTTTCCCCGGATGATGCTTGCGATTGGATACCGTTGGACCTTTTGTGGGGTACGTGAACGATCGTGCTTATATAAAAAACCTTAAATTTTTGAGCACTTGAAAACCAACCCATATAACTAGTGTAGTGATTCACAAATATATCTAAAATTAAACATTTATAATAAAAATGTAATTTTATGATAGAAAAATTATTTGAAATGTCTTTTTTACGTTTATTTTCGAAACAGCACAAAGGATAGCGCTACATAATTTACACGCAACTACTCTAAGAGTTTAAACTTTTTTCTTTTTCATTATTTTCATAAATAATACCATGCCTAAAAATAAAGTTTTATGATTATTACCTTTCAATTAATGAGTGCGAATGGATCGCATTACATACCTATGAATACAGTGATAACAAATGCAAACATAATCCACATCCAACATTTCCAAGCGTTGCGAGAGTGTTCAGCTAATTTTTCTGTTTCTTTGTTCAATGAGTTTATATTACGATCAGCCATATTTGTAGATCTTGACGCGATTTCCGTGTCTTTTTTAATTATTCTATTTGCCGTTTCCGTTTGCTCTCTGAGGTTCCGTGTCAGGGACAGCATATGTTCGGTAATTTTTTCCTGTGCTTCATTATAATATTTTACAGCCTCATTCATATTTTCTGCGCTGGCAATATTATCGTCCGGCTTACGTCGTCGTAGCGTATCCTCTTAACAAAAAAAAAAAATAATAATAAATATATGCTAGCATGCAATACTTTTTATAAAGGAATATACCATTTAAGAGCTCCTTCCGTAAATCAGCATAATGTTTAGAACCTTGAAGTTGCTGCATTTCTTTTAGTGCATCATCTCCTGTCTCATATCCTGGACGTAGTTTAGATCTTAGGCTTTTTACGGGCGGAGGACTATCAATGTAATTAGTAAGAGTTTTCAAGGCATGTAGACGTTTTGTATAATCTGGAATTTTTAGGTTGCTACCTAAGCTGGAAACAAAAAAATTTTTTTTTGTATTAGCATTTTCAACATATTTTACTTACTCGTCACATTCCTTTAGTTCCTCTATCATTGTGTCAAGTGATTTAATGAACTTTTTCAGCCGCCAGTAATTCGTTTCATCTTTCGCTAACTCTTCGCAATTGGATAGGAGAGTTCTTATATTTACATTTAATTTAGTAGCCATTATCTATAAATGCTGCAAATGAAAACACGTATAAACAATTATTAGTGAATTGAAATGCCAAATCAGACAGAGCACGAAAAGTGAAACAGGGTTACATTAATTTTATTTTTTTCGATAATCAATAAAATATTAATTTTTATACCGGTAGTTATTTTACTTTATAACACAAGTGGCAGTTAATAATGTAAATAAAACGTTAAAGTTTATATATGTTGTGAATAATATTTTTATTGTTACTTGTAGAATTCGCTACTAAATATTTGTTTAGCATTGTTAAAAATAACACTGTTAAGAACTACCTCTATAAATGTCATACTGAACGTACTTAAAGACAGATCGTGTGACTGAACGCGTATTCACTACATAAAAATCCTAATTATAAGAAAATTTGCGGAAAAGTGAACAAAACGCACAACCTTATAACAAAGACAGAATATTTTAGATTCTAAATACTTTTTGCTACAAATAAATAAAATATTCGCACAGAAAATAGCATTTAGTTGGATAATTGTTTTTTTATATTGGTCTCGTCCAGAGTATATCGATTTCGAGTGGGATAATATTTAGTTCCCCGCCACTCAACATGCAAGCCATTAAGTGCGTCGTGGTAGGTGATGGTGCGGTTGGTAAGACTTGCTTGCTTATCAGCTACACTACGAATGCATTTCCCGGTGAATACATCCCTACTGTCTTCGATAATTACTCAGCAAATGTAATGGTAGATGCAAAACCGATTAACCTTGGTCTTTGGGATACTGCTGGACAAGAAGATTATGATCGATTACGTCCGTTGTCATATCCACAAACTGATGTTTTTCTTATATGTTTTTCGTTGGTGAATCCAGCCTCATTTGAGAATGTACGCGCCAAGTGGTATCCAGAAGTGCGTCATCACTGCCCAAACACGCCCATCATATTAGTAGGCACAAAATTGGACTTGCGCGACGATAAAAACACCATTGAGAAGCTGCGTGATAAAAAACTAGCACCAATAACTTATCCTCAAGGATTATCTATGGCCAAGGAAATAGGGGCTGTCAAATATTTGGAATGTTCGGCCCTTACACAAAAAGGTTTAAAAACGGTATTCGACGAGGCCATACGCTCAGTGCTTTGTCCAGTCCTGCAGCCCAAGTCTAAACGCAAATGTACGTTACTCTAATTTGCCGCATCAACAAGCCGTGGGTCGCATAATAGACGTCACGAACCGAGAGGAGGGCATAATAAATGATTGTAAACGGGAAAACGCCCATCGCTTGTAAACAATATATGATAATCGAAAACAAAGAGAGAAATCAAAATTAACTAAAACACATAATAATAATAATTGGACAGAATCATTGTATACAACGTATACGGAAGTATTGTGATGAGATGGTGTTCGAAAATTATGCATAACATGCTATTAGTCCAGCGAAACTAAAAAAAAGTCGAGTGTTTGATGTTAAATGTTGTCATAATTATCGTCTATAAAAAATTTCATTAATAATCTAGAATAAGACTTGCTTGTGCTTGTACAAACACCAGTTCAGGCAGACAGCACCAACTAGTTCCAAGTTTTAGCATACATCTTCATTGGCATCGCTGCACTTCTAATGTGAACGACTAATTGTATTAATTTCTTAATTCTTTGGCCCATATTTGTGCGAGTTCAATAACCAATCGTGTTGTGTACAACATATCTTCTTCAAGTTACACCAAGAACAATAATAGAAGAAGATGCATTGTTTGGATTTTTTATTTTCTCTGAAAAATAATTAATTACCTAATATCATGCATAATTTTAGTGGATTCAATTAACCGAACTTATAAATTTTGTTTTGATGTAAATGTTTCCTTGTGCATTAATTTGAAACTAAAAGTTTTGATGTCAATTTAAAAATAAATTTGTTTTTGGTTATAAATGAAGAAAAATATTTAAAAAAAAATTTCTATTAAAAAAGAGCTTTTCTACTTATATCAAAAAATCAAAAAATAAAACTGAATTTTGGGTATGAAAGGAAAAGCCAATATGGTAAATGATTCATGAATAACTAGATACATGTGTGTAAGTACGTAATTGTATTAAACACGAAAATATGTTGGAACAGTTTTTATAGTATATAGGCATTAAAGTTTATCTACCAGAAGTTGCTGTACACCAAATGTTAGCCATTTAACCAAAAATTAACTACGATTTAAAAACAATACAAATTTATAGAACTTACATTCATACGAATATACATACAAAACTAATAAAGTATTTGCAAACTTATTTATAACGTTTTGTAGTTGTATCAATACCAAAAATATAATGTATAAAGATGCTAATCTGAAAGAACACGAGTGATTGCTTTCCCAAGCTTGTGTAAAATTTGTAGTGCATTAAACAATTTTTTCTATGCGTTAGTTTAAGTACGAACCATCTGTAGTCATATTCAAACCAGCTACATTCTTGGAGATGCATGTACACATCCATAAGTAAATCTTATGATTACTATAATATTATAGAACGATTAATTAAATCTAATTTCATTATATATTGATGGAATTAATAAAACTATTGTGTGTCTCTGGAAAATAAAATAAAGTAATAATTCGAAAGAAAACACTAACTTTTAATTAGTATATATACATATACATATATATATTGGGTAAACGGCCCTATGTGAAGTCTCTATTGTTTTGATATTTCTGATGTCCGGAACTAAGTACGAGCTTGACACAACGCATACACCGTCCATTGCTTATACTGCGTTAATATATACCTTCATTGTGCATATACATTTGTATGTACGGCCAACTAATTTGTTTATATTAAACGACTGATGCCTCTGTAGAACAATGGCAGCTTACATTCAGCTAATACTGGAACATCATAAGAAAAATCTAAATATAAAAATTTACGTAGTGAAATAAAAAAATGTATTCAAAATTTCTGCTCATACATATGTACATACTTATACACGTAACAACATCAATTATGCACAGATATCTAAATTTGTTGTGTGTGAAATAATGAATGGTTGTATAAGTACATACATGTGTATATTATCAAACACATGTATTCATGAGTATGTAAGCAATACGAACCGTTGTCCGTGATATGTGCATATATCCCTATATACATATGTATGTATATAAGGAATGTTTCAATTATATGCTCTTTACTTCATACTGCAATCCAATTCATATAACTAGCATATGTATGTACATACAGAATTGTGTCGTATGTAATTTAAAATTTTCAAAAATGATATGATCATTTACATACTTTCTATTTTCATACGTACATATGCTCATATAATTTATGGAAATATATGTATGTACATACATAAATAAAATGAGACATATTTGCTTATCTCAACCCCATAGAACCATTATGACGACGATTGTTTGATTGTTCTGGAACTGTCGCCGTGGCCTTATTTTAAAAATATTAAATGTGGAACTTCTGAATGGTGTTATTTCGTAAGTAGAAACCGTTTCACAAAAAGTTGCTGACCTTTGCAGCTCTGTGTGTATACAGAGGGAAATATACATACATATATCACTAAAAAAACAAGATTTTCGTAGAATATACTTGGCATTTATTATTAGTACATTTTATACAATGATTTAATTTTTTTTATCATATGAAAAATTCATAACACCTAAGGCTTGGGAATATTTATATTAAAGGATTAGTACAAGTTAAAGTAAAGGCTTAAAGAATTTGAAGAAGTTAAAGTACGTCTAATGAACAATATTTGGCACAGATAAGTAACATAATAGTCGCTGGGCTGGCTTTAAACCATGTTTTTGATAAGCCGCCATGACGCCGGAAATTCTTATATTTTACATAGGTATAAATACATATGTACATGTAAAAATTAATAAGTTTTACAAAAAGGTGTTAACACATAAAAGGTAATAACTTATTCTAGTACTATATAAAAAATCTCTTTGCTTTAAAAATATTGATTCTTTCAATCGAGACAAAGTTTTTCCATTTATGAATGAAAAGTAGTTTTTGTTCTTTGTGGCATTTACACATATCTATGCAATTATTTAATAATTTAAAATTCATCGTGACGCGCTAGGGCCTCTCCGAAATCAGTCGCCTGGGAACCAACGAAAACATCGTACTTTTCCAATATTTCCTCTTTTGTGAGTTTCTCATCTTCATCTGTATCTGCTTCAAATACCAAATGTTTTGCTTCGCTTTCAGCATGATCAAAATCTTTCGGTACTATCCAAGTACGTACTTCTTCGCGATCCATATAACCATCACCATTTGTATCACGAAATTTTGCGAACCCTTCACGTTCACTTTTTACCCATTCCGGCTCTTCGTCATTGGGTTCTGAGTTTCGGTACATGTCAGCGATATATTCGTCCACATTAATTTTACCATCTCCATCACTATCGATGTCCTCAATAGTCTCGGTTAGCACAATATCTTTCATAGTGGGATGATCTTCGGGATGCAAAAATGCTGTAAATTCTTCACGAGTTAATTTATCATCTAAATCCTTATCTGCGACACCCCATCGACGACGATCACGCTTCACTAAACGTTTGAAAGATAAATTATGCTCATCGTTTTCTATTTCCTCTTGAGACATTGTGTCTAAGAATCCATAAACATTGTCACGATAGGCTTCCCAACTAATGGTATCGTTGTTATATGGATTATGTATTTTCCACATGCGACCAACATCTTCGTCAATGTAGCGACGTTGTGTATATTCAATCCAACGTTTTAGCTCTGAAAGTGTCACAAACCCATCTTTGTCTTCATCGATTCGATCGACTATAAGACCCAAACGACGTTTGCTCTCTTCTGGTGGCAATTGATCAAATGTCTTTGCTTCATCTTCGCCCAAAAAAGCTTCATGATCATACTGTTTGTTGTGATGCTCGCCTTCAAAGTGCTTTTCACCATCGGAATCATGGTCTAGTGGAGTATGGAGTGCATCATCAGCCACAGCTTCTTCATCATCAGGCTTAGGAATAGCATATGCTAAAACCAAAACGCTCAGCAAAAGTAGTGCCCGAAAAGATAAGCGAAACGCCGGCATGGTACAACAAGTGCGATTTATTTCACGCGGTGTACGTTTTATTGAAAATTAATAAATTATAAAATCTGAGCGAGAATAAAACCGTTTTGGCCAGCAGGCGCTCCGAGAATAATGTATACTGTTTTTAATTGTTTTTTTTTTTTATTTAATCAATTCTGGACAACGGATACGTGTACTTTGGGACAGTGTTGCATTTTAGATTAGGTAAATGAAATTCCCTGTGGGAAGTTTTTTATCATACTCTTTACGAACATGAAAGGCAATGTTTGTAAACCAAATCTAATTGGTTAGCTTATGTTGCTAATCGTTTTTTACGGCAATTATAGAAATTATCAAGAAAATTGTAAATTATAGGTTATAAATTGTTACAAGGAGATAATATCCTTGCATAAAAAAATTTGGCGCAGCCGTGAACATAATTCATTGCTGGCTATTTATTTTTTTTAAGCTGATAGACTTAACTTTGCAGAATGCTTTAAAAGATTTGAATGCTGCACTAAAGATTAAAACAGTTGTTAATAATTTACTACTAATATTACTAGATGCAGATCAGTTTAGAATGAAAATAAATTCTACTATGACACTTCCCAAACCAAGAAGTTTTTTTATAAAGCGAAAAATTTAGTATTTATAGAAAAGAAATAAAAGACGTTAAAACTCAATGAAAGTGCGGCATAAACGAATTTTGTAAAATCTACTTTCCACTCTCTTCCAATTTCCATTCTCTACACAAAGCTGAATTTTGCGAGAAGCATTGTAATCGCGGCGGTTCTGTCATTTAATTTTCAAAACGGCGTTTTTGCTTTTGTTTTTGCGGTTCTTTCTTTATGTGAAAAATCTATTTTGATTTTGTATATATTGTGTTAAGTTTCGAGTTAAATTAATAAAATTAATACCAATTTGGCTTAAAGTACGTTTGAATGAATTACAAATACTAAATGGACTTCATGAATAGATTACCTAGTGGAATTAAAATACTACATACTATGTGTGCAATTAAATTTAAAATTTTTTGCCATTTGTTTATTTTTCAGCAAATCAAGTAAATATGACCACCGAATCTGCGCTTCCACTTCCTCGTTTGCCAGTGCCCGATATTCGCGCCGAAGTAGCATTTCAACACTCCCAAAAACAAAACGAACGTTTGCAGGAATATCGACTTAGGCCGCCGAAGTTACGATTGGCGAATCGTAGTCATTCCTCTACTTCCACATCCACAACCGCACATGCAATTTCATTCCGCGGCGAATCCGATGGAAATGGCAAAGCACTTCCAGAATTAGATGCCAATGCACTGAGTGGTTCATATGATCGTTCAATGAATGAGACCTATTTCGAACAATGCTTTACTCGCCTTGCTAAAATTGGTGAAGGGTCATTCGGGGAAGTATTCAAAGTTCGTTCTAAAGAAGACGGACGAATGTATGCGATAAAAATGTCAAAGGAATTATATCGTAGTGAGCATTATCGCCAAGAGCGACTTGAGGAAGTGCGACGATATGAACAATTTTCTGGCCATGCTAATTTCGTGCAATTTTATCGTGCGTGGGAACAAAATGATCGTTTATATATGCAAATGGAGTTGTGTCGTGAAAGTTTAGATAGGTATTTGGTACGACGTAGAGATATACCGGAGGAAACAATTTGGAATATACTACTCGACTTGTTGCTAGCATTAAAAAATCTGCATGACCGGAATCTAATACATCTTGACATTAAGTTAGACAATGTATTGATTGGCGATGACGATAGTTGTAAATTGGCTGATTTCGGTTTAGTTATTGATGTAGATAGAGTGAGTCTTATAAATTAATTTGTTTTATATGATATATAATTATTTTGAACTACTATATTTTAAAACTCGGCAGGCGAATCGTCATCAAGCTACAGAAGGAGATTCCCGTTATATGGCTCCCGAAATATTACAGGGAAAATTTTCTAAAGCTGCGGATATTTTTAGTTTGGGTGTTGCAATGCTTGAATTATCATGCTTTTTGGAGTTGCCGCATAACGGACCCCTGTGGCAGCAGTTGCGTAGCGGTGTTTTGCCACATGATTTCATGAAAAGTGAGTATATAAGAGTGCCCTAAAAAAATGTTTATTTGTAACTTCATCATCATCCAGATATATCACCAGAACTGGAAACACTTATTAGACAAATGATGTCTCCGGAACCTGAAGCGCGGCCGACAGTTGATGAAATTCTTAGTCACAAAAAGTTGGTTTCTTTATTGGAGCGCCGAAATCGCTGGAGGTTGATCATAAAAATGGTATGCTATTAAACACTTAATCTTTCAAATTCGTATGTCCAAAATAATCCTTTTAAAGAAACAAACGATAAGGCGTTCACGCAAAGCTACTTGGTCAAAGCTTTGCAATTGGAAGCAGATGATTTTCAGTTTCGTAACCTCCATTCTCACTACTTTCATTCACCGTGAAGCAGTAAGCAATAGACGGAGAAGAACCTTAGATTCTCCGATGCAACAACAGGTAAAGGATAAACAACTACCTATGATCTCGATGCGATTACATGCATTAACACCTACCGCAGGGAATAATCGAAATACCCCAATCGAATTTTTACCCGGCGAAAATTACTTGCATTTATCTCAACAAAGCACACCCATAAACTTTGCCACGCACAATAAAATTGTAAACTCGACACCTGTCAATCATAATAATCACAGCTTTCGTTCACGGAAAGATTTAACCAAGACTAGTTTTAGGTAAACATAATCATTTATCTGATTTTGCTAATATTGTTCTAATTAACAACATGAATATTATTTAATTTGTTACAGAGCGGTTGAAAACGACTGCGGTATTGAGTATCTTCCTGACATTCAATATTCGCCAGCTGCAATCAGCCGACCAAATAGTTTTTTGAGTTTAGATGATTTGGAACAGAGTTCACAACCGTTCATATTGTTAGATAAATCAAGCCTACAAGAGTGCCGAAAGAAACTCTTTACTCAACTGGATAACTCACCAATATAATATGTAATATGTTAGATCGTATGGATATAAAAAAAAAAGTGTTGACCCCAATTGATAACCACCGTCAATTTTACAAGAATTAAGGTTTTTATTTCAACTAATAGAAATATATATCATAATTAATAGGCATATTTAACCATTATTGCATAATGATATTTGCATACGAAATTTAAAAAAAAATATTTGTAAGCTTAGTTAAGGGAAAATCTTCCACTAGAGGGCTACAAATAAGTACTGTACGAAATTTCCTCATAATTTGTAAATTTAGTATTTTGGATAAAAAACTTCCATTATTTCATTATATTACATATAAATGTGGTTATAGTCTATTAGGATGGTAAGTAATTTTTGGCGATACATATGTGATATGTTAATACAATATACTATATATACACATATACTTCATAAATATAAAAAAATATTATATACGAAATGCACAATGCATATTTTGTTGATTTTTATAAAGCATTCATTGATAAAAATAGGTGCCTGTTAAATTGTGTTTGTTCGTTCATAACATATTTAGCACAATAAAGTTGTATGAAACTAAAAAATATGAAAAAATTATCTTAATGACACTTCTTGGCTGTTTCCTCATAATTTTAATGTAATGGGAATGTATGTTCGTAAGTATGTGTTGAGTTTTGGAGAGTTTTCTAACGTTCTTTTGGAGAGTTTCTAACGTTCTAGCTTAGAAGTAAACACCGTTTTTGATTTAATAAAAAATTTCTTTTTTAATTTAATATTTTTGATATTTCCGCTCGAAACCGCTTTGTAAAGTTGTTGTTGTTCATACAACAACAAACTCAAAATATCTTTTAGCTTATTACATGAAAAAGTGTCTATAAAAGTAACGGTACTAAGTTATGTAATATATCATTTAGAGATTTCATAACTAATAAATCGATAAGGTGTTACACATGTGTGCATACATACAAGCATACATATAAAGAAAGAAATGAATGGCAAAAGTCCAAACCGTTAACTGTTTCATGCTGCTAAGCTTTAATATAACATAAACAATAAACATATTAATAAAAATAACACCATATGCTCGCTCCCAATATGTTATTGTATTTGTATGTAAATGCATATGTGCATACATTCAGTCGCATTTCAATATACAAGTATACATACATATATGAAATGACTCATTTGCTGACTGAAAACTCACTTTCACTTACAATGAGGTGCTTCACCTTTGGCGCATATATCGAGGAGGTGTAGATATGTACTATATACTACAGGCAAACGTGTTTCAAATAACTATAGTGTCAGCCACAGCAGGGATACGAAACATTTAAGCAGGCAAATACATTATTAAGCGCTAAAAGTCCATTTTGTATGCCTTAATGGCATAACATAATATAAATAAAGAATTACATATCCATATATTTTTATGCAAAGATGTACATACATATGTTTTTTAGCTTGGCTCGAAAAATCAACCGAAAATATACTTTTTGAATCTTTTTCGATTGTAATTCAACTTTATACGATACCAGATTCAATTAAATACCAGGGAGCGTTTTTGTGTCCGCTTAAGGGGCGAAAAATTATAATTTTTAAATTTCAATGTATTTACGTGTAAAACGGAAACATCTTAAGATCTTACAATTAACTTGTTTATATCCTCACAAAAAATGTTTTCTCTTTTCTTTTAAAATATTGCGAAACTACCCCCTTGACTTCACCATCCCTGCTTACGGCTAGTCTAACGTGACCCTTTGTTTGACTCCCCCCTGCTTTACCCGATGGAACGTGGTTTTGTTTCAGTCCTCTTTTCATTATATTTATTAAAAATATTTTATTTTAAATAAATGAAGTAATGTTTTGGTGAATAAAAGGACTTAATTAAGATTTAGTAACAGTTAATAGATCACTTATTAAAAATAATGGATTAATCTGAAGAAAAGCTTACCTCTGCTCTTACTTTATTCTCCCGGAGACTTGGCTATAGCCTTATCAGAAGATTTTAGAGTTAATGAATATCAGCTTAATATAAGTAACCGTTTGCATGAAGAAGTATTAATAAATAAACGGAATTGTGGAAAAATTAATTCCTTTCGCTCATGGGTTTTACAAAATGATATTGCATCTGCTCACTCGTTGTTGCTGGTTCGTTTCCAAGACTGGAGAGACCCATGAAGGGGCTGCGATTTCCAAAGATTAAATAACTAGACATCAAAACGCTGAAATAGCGAGGGAACATACCAAAACCTGCAGAACTCAACGACTTTCTGATTGGAAAATGCGCTGGCGCATTTAAAATAGGCTTAAAATTAAATAAAAGCATGGATCGATACAATTGTATAGGATACAATGACGTAAGCACTGTTTTGCAATTATAGCCGAATCAACAATACTTCAATACTCCATTTCGCTGTTTGGTACTAATGAGACATAGCAGAAGATTCCTGGTCGCTGTTCAAATGGATGAAGACCTTCTTAATCCGCTGCTTTCAACAGTATGAAATATCATGAAGCGATTTTCGGTCCAGCCAAATTTGTGATGTACGTCTTACTGTGGTCCCTTCAAATGGAGGGACCTACAGTTTGTTCTAAGCCGGCTCCCTACGGCTGTTGGATTTGTATGATGAGCTCCTAATTGTTGCTATGCAGAAATACATTCGAAGGGCTTGATATTGCCCATTGCGCGGCGACCGCAATTGGAAAAATAATTTTCTATAATTTCAGATGTTGGTTGGTCCAGAACTCTAACCCTGATCTTCCAAATGTCAGTACGCAAAGCTAACAGCTCGGCTATTGCGGTCAGTTGTGGCTTCTTCTTTGCATGTGACGCAGTTAAGCAAAGAAGACCTGGTCACAGCTCAAGAAGGCAGTTAAGAAAGGTACTCTTTACGTTTATTTGAACAAAAACATTTTTGTGTAAAAATTCAACAAATCCAGCTATCTGTATTGGTATCAGATGCCCTTTTCGGAAAGAAGCGAGTTACACAAAAGTCATAAAAATAGGTCCAGCCATTTTTGAGTTCTTCCCATATAGATAATTAATTACCGATATAAAATTGGATCACACTAATGTTACTCCAACGTGTGACAACTTCTATTTTAATATGTGCTCCGACTCAAATTGGCAAAGCGAAGTGAAGTGGAGTAGAGCACAATTGATGAGCCTGCATGCAATCATTGTTTTGGCGATAGACGGAAACCCCTACGTGTACTCAAAGATAAATTAACGCATATAAATTTAAGCAAAAATTCAATTGTTTTTTTTTCCTTTGTAATGCATGCACGCACACACGAGTAAGTATGTACGTATGCCAGTTTGCTTTGAGTTGGTTGTTAGCTTTTTGCCGGTGACGTTTGCCGGATATCGTTGCGTCTTTTGGAATGGCCAAATGTTGACGAAATTTTCATTTTCATTTGTATTTACAATTACAATGAATTACCTGCATATCTGCGTCACAATCATAATCGGAATGCGTTGAGTTAAATACTAATGAAAACGTTGCTTGCTTGTACCTTTACAATGCCATATGGGCTCATACTTGTATGTACACTTACATATGGCAGAGCTAATTAACAGTTCACCCATTCCAGCTGTGACTCATTCCACATTATGATAATAGACATACACTTGAGGTTTGTAATTGCATAAGACATTGAGTTAATTTGGTTTATGGCTTATCGAATAATTAGTAGGTCGTACATATATGTACATACGTATGTGTCTGCTGAATAGCCGAATTTCTATGTACAAAGTGCTTTGAAAAGTGGAACAAAGTGAATAAAATTCAAATTTTGATTTATAGGGATAACAGAGTTACGGTTAGCAAGACAGATGGGCTGTTATATTCTATGGATTCATTTATATTTTTATATTGGCCAAACGTAAACTGGACACGCATAGCCAGTGGTAGTGAATCAGCTAACAATTTCCGTAAGGTTTCAGGAAGTTGGATTTACTCAAAGGCTGTGAAATTATGTGTCAGACGAGTTAAGGCCGAGAGATGTGGAAAAGCGATTTTTTCCCCTCTGAACTTCTTCTTGGAGGACATCAAAGGAAGGGGTTTTTGCACCGGATCGTGACTGTAGATAAAAGCGGACATACTAAGATAACCCTAAGAACAACAAAATACTATGCTAGGCCAGAAAGGGTTCTCCATTTCAAAGGTTCTGCTATGCGACCAAAAGGCATGAGGTGAGAAGGACATAACAACGCTCGGTCCCACGTGGTTGTAGCGTTCAAGCACTACTTGGAAACGCTGGAATGGGATGTTTTATCTAACTTACTGTATTCTCTAGATCCTGATCGTTCCGGACTCTAGCTTTATTGCCGCATTACCGTTTCGGGTCTTTTGAAGAAATAGAAGAATGGCTTAACAACTGGATCGTGGACAGAGAGGACTAATTTTTTAGAGATAATATTCGAAAACTATTAGAGAGAAGTATTATTATTATTTTTTTTAATGAAAAACATTTCTCGATAACAAATAAACGAAACGAATTAATTTATACTCCATTTCTTATTTCATTCGGACTTTCTGCAATTCAAGCTAATCTATAATAAATAAGTGGTACTTCCTAGGTTCTGCCAGCATCCTCTGATGTTTTTCCAATCAATATTTATACAGTTTATTCTAAGCCACCTTCGAGTGGTGGCGAAGGACGACCAGAGTTATAAAAAAAATATGCTTTTAAATTATTTTTAATGCTGATCTGGCAGGGTTCGATCCCTTGATGCTCCGTTTGGTAAAACGGCCCATTAAGCACTTTTATAAATTTTCCTATTGAAGGGGTTGCTCATTTAGTACCTTCAATAAAGCCCACAAAATATCAGTTTGGTAGATAGATGTATTAGTAATGAGTTTAGAGCTACCTTCGTAATTGGGGTGACCACAAAAGTATCCTGCTCAAAAGCCTGCCTCGCCTTAATATAGACCCATCAGTTAATATGTATATAAAATTATCTCCACTAGCACAGATAGCCTATCATTTCGACAATTCCTGCCTGTTCGAAAAAAAAAAATTGTAGTGGTACACAAGCATCGGCAAGTTTTTCCTATTAGACTTTACCGGTCCCGTTTTCAATGTGCTCCAACCCAGTTGATTTTTCGAAAAGAAGAATAAAGAAGAAGCAGGAAATAAGATAGTTAACCAAGTTAGAGGATATTACGATATTACTATTTGAGAAGGTTGGGTTAAATTGGTGAATTCTTGTCTCTCTCATGAAAGCGATTTCCGGGTTTACAATGTTCTCATGTTCTTTGGCACATTAAGATCAGAAAGATTCCGGACATCGTTTTTCTCGATGTTCGCGGTTTGTTCATCATGAATTCATTTCAATGGATCAGGCGGTCAATGAAGAGTATTACTTGAGCGTTTTGAGGCGTCTGCGCGAAAACATCCGTCGTAAACGGCCGGAATAGTGGGACAAAAATTCATGGATTTTTCATGACAAAACAAACACCATCGATCATCCACCGCATTCACCATGCGAGTTATTTTGTACTCTGTGGAACCCGTTTCGACTCGATTGCGGCAGAGGAAACTGAGGTCGACTGATTTCAATAACTGCTGCAAACAATGT